TCTTCACTTCATTTGATCATACTATCTCAAATATTTATTCACTTCGATGGACTTTCTGCCCTGGGTTAGACTGCTGAGGTAAGTGCCTGCATATAGTCTCTACCACTCACTGTATAATTTACTCCTTAGCCTACTCTGGGACTACTACAGTCAACGTATCCCCACTAATGTTTTTCCATCCAAGCTACATGTCTTGTATCTATGTGGCTTACTATGGCAACCGCTGACATCACAGGATGACCCTGGATTTTCGCCACCCACCACATAGGAACGCAAGCTTATCCGGTATGTTTGGATACGTTCAAGTGGCGGGAAACGCACAACAAATAAACCCCTCTCACGGATTGGCATGAACTCTAACAGATCCCACCGTCTACATTGAACACATCGCGCCAATTCCGCCTCCTGAAAGCGTCTAGATCATTACCTCAGCATACCCAGAGTAACGCTACGTATTAATAGCTCAGAATACGTTCCTCCACCACCCAAGACCCTATAAACGTCGAGGTACCTACACCCCACAACAGAAGCAACACATCAATTCCTTACCGTGGATATGCGCGAAATCCCCTTATTCTGTGATGCCCTTCCGTCGAAAGTTGTGGAAAAGATTGTTTCCCACTTGCCGCTTTCCACAGTCGCCGAATTGATGAAATCGGAGAATACAAATCTCGCTTTGGTGGCATGGAGACGCTACTACTCAAGCATTAAATTGACCTTTGACAAACTGTCATTCGAAGGTGCCCACTCCCGTATAGATGATGAGGTCCTCAGCATGAAAGTTTCTGACTTTGAAGCTTTGGTAAACAGCGATATGTTTGACCAGCTTCGCATTACAAAGCTCTTGATAAAGGTACATACAGACATCGAAGAAGACGTCGATGATTTTACATTTCTCCACGAAAAAGTGTTCACCAAAGTGTCTTCAGTTGTTTCCAATGTTGTTCTAGAGTTTGAAGCGAACTCTGAATGGTATACGGTATTCGGCTGGGACTGGTTGCCGTCTTCGCCACTGGTTCAGAAGTGCATCCGAGAAATATCCGTTTCGCATGCTTATATTGATCCGGACGTGCCATCTTTGCCATCCAACTTACGCAAGCTTGACTTTCAGCATTATTACCAATATGAGTTTGATGATGATCCTATTTCTCCAAGGATTGTCTTTCCACCGTCTCTCCAAGAATTTTATTCGATGATCCCCTGGGGATCGATGTCAACGTATGCCAACCTCCCTTCAACCTTAAAGAGATTGAAGTTAGAGAATGTCTCGGAATTTTCTGTCAAAGCCTTCAATGAGCTAAAGTTGCCCAATTTGAAAGACTTGATACTTAGAGACATTTTAAGAATGACAGAGGTCAACGAGCACTTTAAATTTCCCTCGCTGTTGGAGAATTTAAAACTTGCGTGGTTGAAAATTACTATCTTTGAACAACGGGAATTGCCTCCAGGGTTGCAAAAGTTATCCATCACTAATTGTCCTCTAAAGAAGTTTCATGTGGGTACATTTCCGAATTCCCTCAAAGAGTTGATCTTAGAAAATACGAATCTTCCATCATCCGAAATCCACAAGCTCAAGCTTCCATCGAGCTTGGTTTCTTTACTGATTATTTGGGCCCAGTTAACATCGCTAGACTTTGTTAACTCATTACCAGGGTCTCTAAAATTGCTTAACCTCCGCAGCAAATCCCTTGGTTCTTTAAACCAAACAGACATAGACACTTCCAGGACATGTCAAATCAAGTTCCCAGAGAATCTCCTGATTCTTGATCTCCTGACCAACCGTTCGTTATTTATCCT